CATAGTTTGTAAAAACACCAAACCTGCTTCTCAGTTTCCTAGGATGGTGAAAGGTTCTGAAGGTGAAAGTGGTAACTGTGACAGGCCGTATGCCTGTCATCATCAACAAATCCTTCTTTAAAAGATGAAATTTAAACACAAATCTAAGCTGGAAGCCAGTGGCTATTTAGGAGACTAAGCTCTGAGGACTGCAGTTCAAAGTCAGCCTGGGCAAGAAAGTCTGTGAGACTCTTATCTCCAATTAACCAGTAAAAAAGCCAAACGTGGAGCTGTGGTTCAAGTGGTGGAATGAGAGCCTTGAGCAAAAAATGCTGACAGCTTACCCATCCTGAGTTTAAGCCCCAGGACCAGCACACATGTGTGTACACACGCACACACGCACGCACACACACACAGAGTCTAATAATGTTGGGGAACAAGAGTAGAAGTTGGCATCAATCCTTCTTGGAGCCACAGTGCCATCATAATACTTCACATTTTAATGGAACCCCATAATTGTCCAAGTGCTTTTAGACACACTTTCAGTATCAATTAGTGAGAACGCTGGCTCATCGTCTCACTAAAAACTGAAGAGCAACCAAATAGCTAGGTGAAATTGATAGCATTTCTCTTGATTGTCACCCTGTGTAAATCACCCTCCTCCGCACAAGAGATCCACGGTCAATGAGTGACACTGATTCCCGAATGGGAGCCAGGCTGACGCAGCACCCCTGGGTGAAGCGGAAAGGCGGACGCGGAGTGCAGCGAGAACCTCCGATTCGGGGAGTGCCCGCGTGTGGGGAAGAAGCCAGCTCTCTCCTTGGCCCTGACGTTGGTGTCTGGGGGAGAGGGGGAGAGTTGGGGAGGAGGTTTCCAGCGACTGTCTTCAACGGTCCTTCCGCACTGGCCACATGACAGGGTGAACATCTGTTCTACTGTCTCTGGGGACAGTGAGAGACGTCGGAAAGTGCAGGTAGTTCTGCATATTAAATTACAACCCACCAGGCAGCTGTTTAGATGAAAGGGTCTCGGTTTATACTCTCATTCTTTCCGTGCAGTGGCCATCTGGTCACCTCTCAGCTGGAACACCACCCTAGGGTTCAACTGCTCGGCAGCCAGCGACTATTTTTGTTCCCTGAGCTTAAAATGACTTTCCTCTTTTGATGGTCAGCACCGTCCATGCTATTTGTTTATATGCTGGCAAAGGCAAATGGTATAAGAAGGCCAAAAAAGCAATGCATGCGCATGCTCCAGAGGATATAATAATTTTCATTTTGCAAATGAAAATTTGTATTTTGTATTTGTTTCTGAAAGTATCATTTGTCCACAATGGTAGCTGGACTTCCTGCTTAGGCCTGCATTGTGGTGAGGAAAGGTAACTGGTCACATACTGGTGGATTTAAGTTCTTAGCAGGAGTTAGAGGTGAGTAACAGAAAACCGGCAGGTTATTGTGTAGGGATTACATCCCCAGGAAGGCTCTGGGAAGGACTCCACATATCTGACCTCCCTGAATGATTCCAGAATGCTAACCCTGTGGTTTGACTAAACAGAGCTAAGCAGAGGTGCTTTGATTAAGATTGATTGGAGCTTTATAAGGAGAGTGTACGCTATTGACCATATAGTTTCTGTCCTGGGGGCCACCATATTGTGCATAACTGTGTGGGTATGGACTGCACTGAGCAATGTTTTATCTGATTAATAGGAGGAGAAGAAATGTAAGCATCTAGATCAGGTCCCAGTTGAACACAGAAAAACTCCGTTCTTTCATGACAGATGAAAACTGTTTGGAAGATGGAAATGTCTAGGTTTCTTTTCCTTTTCTTTTTACTTTGTGTATTCACTAATACTTTTGTGAGAATGTAGTCATCTGAAAGAAGTCAAAAAAGCTTTGAAGTTTATGTCTGAGGCCGGTTGAAGATAAAGACAAGATGTGGGAAGAAGAGCCAGAATGAAGGGAACACTTCATCTGGCCAAAGGAATAGTGCATGCGTGCATGGGCGTGTGTGTGTGTGTGTGTGTGAGAGAGAGAGAGAGAGAGAGAGAGAGAGAGAGAGAGAGAGTGAGAGGTATGTATTTCCTGTCCATATATTCTTGGGACCATGAATCCCCACATTAAGAGTTCTAGATACATGTAATAAATAATAAATTGCAATAACAGAAAGAGTGCCCTATCTATAGTGCTGAAATGAACTGCTAATCCTGCTTTGGACCTAATGGTGGGACTCCCAGACCTCCTTCGTGAGGCTCATTTTCTGGGGGAAATTTCCTTAATTTGAAACACTGTTTTATGCCTATCCTGGGCTTCTTTCAGTTGTCTGAAGTGGCACTTCCGTAGCCTACCTCCTTACGACCCTCTCTTGAACGTCATCTGTCACTGACCTATCCAACTATAGTACAGTGCGTTAGCATAGTTCATTTCATCCAGTTCCTTTGGTTTACAATCCTCTGAGATGCAGGAGCTGTGCACTGATGATGCAGTAACTGAGCAAATGAACAAACGAATCAGACCCAAACTTAAGTGAGTTCCACTATCTTATGAACTTTTTTTCTTATTATTGGAAAAACTCATAAAATTCCTATTAAAATTTACCTTACCTGAGGAACTTTATTTTCAATCCAAACTAATACTGTTCCCCTTCTCTTACTGCATTTATTGAGTGCATCTTATGCATAAAACCTGTACCCTCATTTAATTTTTACAACGATGTCATGATGCAGAAATTAGCCTCTCTACAGGGAAGCAAATACAATCAAGAAAGGTTAGTCAGAGTATGTTTCCTCTTATATCCAGAAGCTAGATCTAAAATATACAAGGCATTCACGTACAGTGGGACCAAAGAAGAATATTCTTAGGGGAGGAACAGAAAGAGCACATTGCCTATGTGCCTCTGATCATATAAAATTTATCAAAATCAACTCTAGGAAATGGAAATACAAAGGTTTATTTTTTTCTTTTTTTTACCATTTTGTTTTCTTTTTGTCTTATCTATCTTTGGGAGGGTAAGGGGGCACAGAAATGGAGGGACAAAGGGTGAACCAACGCAGCAGTGGTACTCACGAGACACTATGTTGGAAATGAACTATGCGACTTGTGTGTGCGATGAAGGAAAAACGGGGAGAGGGTGAGGGAAAGGTGACATCTCCAAAAAGAAATGTAACTGTAACCCTCTGTCTACCAGCTTTATCACAGCAATAAAGCTATTTACAAAATGAAGGAAAGCTTGGTAACGTGGCCAAGGTCATGAGGCCAGAACGTGGCAGGCGGGATTAGTGCCCAGACCACAGTCCACAGTGTACTGCTCACTGCAGAAGGGTCCTGGGCCCTTCGTGGCCAACCGCAGTCTCCATTTCATCAGAACGCTTTCCTGTACTCAAGTTCATGGCCTGTTTTCTCGCTGGCAGGCTCTGTGACACAGGAATCTTATTTCTCCTCTTCACATCATCTCATCGTATATGACCACCCTCTTGTGAGGCTGGTGGGAAAGAGATTCCTGTCTGTATTGGGCAGAAAAGCAAATGGCGGCCTTGGGATTTACTATTATAAATCCACTCTCTGTTGGAGCCAACAGCAGGAGCAATCTTCAATCATAGCTCCAGGCTGCTTCTCTGCAAAAACAAAATGCATTAGCATTCCCCATATAAACAATTCTGGGTAGATGGTAGAGTTCATAAAGTTTTAGAATTCTAAGAACGTGCTTGATTACCTAGACTGGTGTCTTGCTTTTAGAAAGACCTCCTAAAAGAAGGCAGTGATTTCTCCTATTCTCTGAAGATGCTTAGCAGAAGGTGACAATGAAGAAAAAGAAAGAACTTCAGGTGGATCTGGGATTTAATCCTCACGTTGATACTTAGTACTCACGGTCTGATACACAGCATTAAGTGTAAATTATTCAGATTCAAACCAAGCTGACAATGTTCTTCTTCTCATCGCTCTTGGCCTATTTACAGAGCATAGTTTCTGTCTCTGTGAAAATCTCTGCTCCTCCCAGTTGCTGTAGGCTCTTCTGGCTAAGTTGCCTCACGCTCTTTCCTGGACGTGCGTGTTCTCCTGGAGTTTCCTCCCGCTGCGGGCCTCTCCTCAGCTCCCCCTTTGCTTTCCACTGCTCTGATGCCAACCCAGCCAGTCAGCACAGTTTGTCTTCCCTCCAGCTGTGCATCCCATGTCCGACTATGGCCGCATCTGGGCTGTCATCAGGAACCGCTGCTGCCATGACTGAAATATTAACGACTCCCTCTGTGAAAAGTCACACCAGGCAGCTTCTGACTCTAAGTTCGAGTTGCTGAGGAGGCAGAAACAATGAAATGGAGGAAATAAAACAAAATCCCAGTATGAGAAAAACCAGGAGAACCTCCTTAGCTCTGGCTGGGAGCTTCTGTAGTGGGGAATGTAGCCATCACTGGCTGAGAGTCACTGTCTGAACACCTACATGGGTGTGTAGCAAAGTGTACACTAGAGTGCTGCGTGGCTGGTTCTGCTGGGCTGACTGGGAGACAGAATGTGATCAGAGAAGAAAAGGCCAACTCTGCTAATAAAGGAACAGGATCCTCTTTTGGCTAACATGAGACCTGACATGCATGGGGCGTGAATGGTTTGAAGTCTACTGAAGAACAATCACGCTCAACTCAAATCCAGACATGTGTGGCTCCATCTTTCATCTAGTCCTTAGGTAAAGTAAGGGCATATTGGGTCTTGTTTTGATTATCTTATGCCCCAACCACTCCGTCATCCACATCATCGCTTTCCTGGTGCTGTGACACGTCGCAATGCTAAGCAGTATTTTCAGAACGAGCCAATGACTACAAAGGAGACACATAGAAAGTAAAACACAAATGGCTCTTACTATTTGTAGTATAGTGAATGTTCATATTTTTTATTTGTTTTATAAGGAAGAGAGTACAAAAGGCTGGGGGCAGAGAATCACAGGAGAGAGAAAGATGGTGCTACCTCTGCACAGGACAATTCTCAGCTGCGCATGGGGGCGGCGGCTTGCCAACAGGCCGGGTGACGTGGTCAGCAGTCACCCTTCCCGGGAACCTGGGGCTGCCTCTGCTTGCCAGTGACTCCACGGCCTTCTCCATTTCCCAAGCCTCTCCAAGTTCCTAACCTGATTCCCATTCTCTGACCACCTCGGGGTGAGTTTTCTTACCTGAGACTGCGTCTTATGGGTTCTTCCTAGCTCTGAACTCATTTTCATCACCGAGTACGCTAACACCCATCTTTGAGTTCAGGGAATTCTTGAAAGTCTTTCTGCGCTGCCCATAAATCTTTCCACCTCCCAAGTTCACCTGCCAGTCCCCTCCCTCTTGGAACTCCGAGCCAGCCCTGGAGTTGGGGGCAGGAGTGGCTCTGGTGGGGGGGGGTGGAGAGCAGGTGCATGTCCCCTCAGGCTGAAAGCACGCTCTTGGTGAGGACCCTGAGGATCACTCAACCAGACCTCGCTAGAGAGCACCTACTGAACTCCTTCTCGAGCCCCGCCCTGCACTTCCTCCAAGGTCACCATGCTGAACTTGAAACTCATTGCACAGGAAAAGCAGTCCCAAGGCTCTTGGGGGAGGCTGAGGACCAACATGCATGCATACTGCGTACGTGTGCGTGTGTGTGTGTGTGTGTGTGTGTGTACACACGTGTGCGCTAGGCAAACTACTCTCCATCACTTGTCAGGGTCAGTCAGGAATGGGTTGAAAGTGAGCAATATGGTTTCATTGTGGATTTGATTAGATGGCTATTAGGTCAGTAAGGCCCAGGCGGCTGGCCACGCAGCTGCCGGTTCAGGGGGAAGGAAAGAGAGCAGCCAGGGAGCTGTAGGCGTCGCAGCTGGAGTTAATGTATGGAAACGCTCAGAACCAGTGGCCCCTTTCCTTCGCCCAGCTGTGGAAGCTGGCAAAGCTAAACGTTTTCGAATTCGCAGTCGTAAGTGGTCATCCGGCACATGATGAACTTCCACTGGCGGTCCCTGGGGAAGGAGAGTGAGAAACGGACGTCAGCGAGGCTCCTGTCAGAGGAAAATTCCCCGCGAGGGAAGCCGGGACCGGGACAGAAGGGCCCCGATCTCGCTGTGTTCCCAGAAGATTCCTCTGTGGCGTCTGCAGAGAACTGAAGAGCTTTAACAAGGCTGAGGCGTCACCTAAAATCATGCTCGGTGCACAGGCGCCTGGCGTGGCTGGTGGTCAGCTCCCTGCGCTGACCCCAAGCATGTCCAGGGTGTAGGAGTCAGCGGCTGTTTGAAAGCCAAGTGCTTATTTAATGTGGTCGTTTCATTGTAGAAAGCCGTTTAGAAGGCCACCCCTGTCCTCCCCGGCTCTGCATGGCGGAGCCGTTACCCTGTACCTGTCTCTAGGGTATTTACACATTTCTCTCCCAAAAGCTTTCTTATAGAGAAATAAAGTGAGGGGAAACATCTTTAGAATTGCTTAAAGTAAAAAAAGCAGCTCTCTGGCACACCGGAAATGGAATTATCATTTGTTTAAGAGGTGGGATGGGATATATGTCTGCTCCTGGGTGCTCACTTAAGCTGCGCACACAATTCTCCAGCACACGTCTTTGAGAAGCTGGGCAAGACAGTTTTATTAATATTTGCTCCTAGAATTGGCAACGGAGGGTGTGGCTTCTTCAAGATGTTTAGCAAACTATGCTATGCTTGTTTACTAAATAAATGTATTTGTTACGGCCAATTTATTTATCACAATATCAGGGAACAAAGACAAACAAGAACCTATGGCCAGGAATTTTTTTAAATTTTTTCTCTTTATAATATTAGAGTTTGAACTCAGAGCCTTGAATTTGCTAAGCAAGTACTGTACCATTTAAGCCACGACCTCAGCCTGTTTTGCTTTGGTTACTTTTCAAATAAATAAAAAGTTCTTGCATTTATGTCCCCACTGGCCAGGATTTCCCTCCTCCTCTTTATGTTTCCTGTGGTGCTGGGGTGCCAGGTACAATGCTCAGCTCTTGGTTGGTTGAGATAGAGTTCGGCAAACTTGTTTGCCCCTGATAGTCTCAAATCATACATTCCGTCTAATTTTAGCCTCTAAATCTTAGCCTTCTGGGAAGCTAAGATTACAGGTACGAGCCACCAAATCTTTTATTTGTACAGCTCTTTTCAGAGGCCATTAATTAATATTGAGAAAAATTTACAAGCAATCCTAAGAGGACTGAGATATCTGGTTATCCTCTAAGACAGCTGTTTCCAACTAGGGACATATGTGCTATCCTAGATCTCTCTCTCTCTCTCTCTCTCTCTCTCTCTCTCTCTCTCTCTCAATTTATCTACTATCTATCTATCCATCTATGAATGACAAGGTCTATAAAGTCCAAACAGTTTTGATTGCCACAATTGGGAGTAGGGTGCTAGAGGTAACCTAATGTGGAGGTTAACCATCTAGAATCACAGGATAATATCGAACAATGAAGAAGTATCAGGCTCCAGCTGTCAAATCCGTGTAGGCTGAGGGGGTCTATGTCAGGGGAATCCTGGAGAGGTGAGGAGGAGGGCCCTTGCACTGACAGCATTTTCCCCGTCTTGGGAACTTCACTATCTTCAGAAGAATGGAGAAAACCCACATGGGGAGTCTGTACGCTATGAAAATGAGCGACAGCAGCAACGTGGGCATGCTCATTTTCCTTGGTGGGGGGACTCGTTTCCTGGCGGGGGGATCTCTCAGTCTCCATGGTTCTGTTATCCAAATAACTGAAAATTCCCAGTCCAACAGGAGTTGGGCATTTTAATTAACTAAATCTATTTAATTAACTAAATCTATTTCTTTTGTAATATTTTTGGATGAAATTCTTTCTTCATTGTTTCCTATCCTTTAAACCAAGAAACACAAAAACGAGTTTCCTTTTGGACCTGGGGACAGTATTGATTACCTTGTTATACTGCTACTAAGTTTTGCACTCCAGGGAATACTTCCCTGAGAACTAAGACACACTTCCATATTCTCTGAGTTCCCAGAGCTTTGCTTTTTCTTCATTTTCTTCAGTATTTTTGTTGTGCATGTCCTACCATTCAGTTATTTCTTCTCAAAGATGAAATGAATTTTAGTGTAACTGATATTCTCATTCTAAATGGTTGTTTCTGAGAAATAGGTAACAGTTAAAACTTCATGTAAAGCAAAAATACACAATGTGGGAAAACTCAGGGGGTTCTCCTATAGGTAAACATGGAATTTTTGCTTATGGAGTCTGATAATAAACAAACAAATAAATCTTTTCCATAGGAAATTGCATGCCATATTCAATAAGTTAAACAAAAGGCAACTTCATTTGGAAACATAATAGACAAACCACACTCAAATTTATCCTAACCTCATTATCTAATGACTTATTGGAAGCTTTATTCAGTTTGCAAAATACATATTGGTAACTTTCCAGGAATTCACTTTTGCATAATGTGATTATCACCTAACTAAAAGTGGTCAAAGCGACTTTTACTTTCTGACATTTATTCACACCTGTTTGTAAGTTAATAGAGGGGCTGGCTGGAGACCAGCTGTGTGTAAGGACTATATTTACAGGAATTCTGTTCTTGCTTTCTTCTTATTGTTCTAATGTATTTAAAAGAGAGTTACAAGGATGATTATGAGAAAAGGAATAAAAAAACAGTGCCCTATGCTTTTTTAAAAAAATCCATTTTTAAATGAAAATTTTATCTGTATCAATGAATGACCCATGAGCCTTCTGTTTCTACATGTGGCTAGTAGGTACTATGGTATGAATGCTAATATTCCTTAAAATTATTTGTTGGAACCCAGCATCCAATGTAATGGTTGCGGGGCGGGGGGGACTTTTGGGGGTGCTTGAGTTATAGGGGCTCACCCTCATGAGCGGATGGATGATGACGTGTACTGACGTTCACTCCACCAAGACCTAGAACCCAGTGGGTGTCTGAAGGAGAGAGCCCGCACCGGACGTCACATTTGCTGTGATCCTGAGCTCGGATTTTCCAGCTTCCAGCTCTGGGAGCAATGACTTCTCATTGCTGGAAAATCCGTCAGTGCTGTGTAGCAGCAGCGTGAAAGGCCCAGGTGGGTGGGCTTTAGGTGTGTCTTTCCTCCCATTTCCTCTTCTCCTCTCTCTCTTTCCTACAGCCTGAAGGGGTGACCCCGTGGAGCCCGGGGCTACAGAGGGTCTGGTCTGACAGTGTCTGCTTCTCTCGCCATTTCGCTCTCTCTTTTGGACAAGTACTCTTTGACACTGACTGTCGGGAGATCCTGAAACACTAAGTCCAGGGCTGGGCCCGGAGTCCACGCTCGATTCCGGGGAGGAGCTGGCTGCCTTGTCAGGTGCACTCCTGCGGGCGCTGCCCCTCTGGGTGCCTGATGCCGTCCAGCCAGTCCTTTGGTAAATCCTTTGTGAAATAGGAAACTAAAACAAGGGGAACCCCCAGGCAAGGATTTAGGCACACAGGATCCCCGTCTTCTGTAAACTGATACCCGTTGGAAAAGGTCATCCTGCTCACCTTTCCACGGCAGAGAAAGTGGTGGTGGCACCTCTCATGTAGTAATCATAGTCATAGGAAATCATGTCCATGTCCTCCCCATAGTGGCCCGGGTACTCGGTTGTCAGCCTGTGCGGAGGGAACAAAAGGTTACAGGAGAAGCCAATAAACACAATGTACCCCTGGAGCTAACACAAGTCATGCATGAAAAAGAGATTAAGTCTGAGAACATCTTGGGTGATCTAAACTGCCTCCATCCCTGGCTGGAAAAAGGTAGTGCTCTTCTCCTGTTCACCTTTCTCTTCCTGACCACGAAGCTGTATGCTGGGAGGCACGCAGCTAACTCTGCAGGCTTTGAAGCACTATTGAATAATATTCATATGAACTCCAACTCCAGTCAACTCACCTAAGACAATGTTTTCAAACTATGGATTATGACTCACTATTAGATCATAAAATCAGTGAAATTGGAGAAATAAAATAAAAATGGAAACACATTGAGATGAGTCATTGAATGCAATAAAGATAGATTCATGTGTATGGAATTTTTCAAAGATATGTATGTATTTATATGATACAAATATTCTGTGGTAGTTTGTATATTTCTTATTATAACTAATAATCAAAAAGTATTAGAACTATGTAACTAAAATGTAGGCTTTAACAAAGGGAGAAATTTTGTCTGTCTACAACGTTTTTCAAGCGGCTAAAGTACACAGTGAACATTTGTTAATAAATAAATGGCTTTGAGAGAACCAATCTGTTTTCTGATCTATAAAAGAATGAAAGTGGCTGGGTGCTGGTGGCTCACGCCTGTAAACCCAGCTCCTCAGGAGGCTGAGATCTGAGGATTGTGGTAGGAAAGGTAGAAAAGTCCGTGAGACTCATCTTCAATAAGCTACTCAGAAAAAGCCAGAAGGAGTGCTGTGGCTCAGGTGGTAGACAGCACTAGTCTTGAGCAGAAGCAGCTTGAGAACAGCACCAGGCCCTGAGTTCAAGCCTTAAAGAGAAACAATCATCATATAGAAATCTTACTGCTACTAATAAAAATATATATAATAGTATGTGGCAGTTACAGGGTTATGAGAAGCTATTTTGTTTCATCGTTGTCATCTTCTTCCTCTTTTTTCCTCCTCCCCTTTTTCCCCTCCTTCTCTTCTTCCTTCCTCTCCTCTTCTTCCCCCTTCTTATTCCTTCCAAGATTGAGTCAATATTGGATCTCCTAGTATGTGATTCTCTAGAGGACTCATTGTGGTTCCTTCTAGAATAAATCTAAAATCTCCTAGTTCTCATGAAGGTTTTGACTCTGAGGGTCTTCCCAAATGCTGCTTGTCAAACAGCTGAGTAGCAAGTTTCAATGATTTCATTGGAATTTAGGTTTGCCATAGTGTATCAATGAAAGAAAGCTCTTCCCTTCTGCAGATCAATGATCTTTCTCTTAAGATTATAAAGATTATCATGAAAGTTGGAAAAAACTTGCTTTATAACTGGAAGGGGTCCCATGGAAGGGGTCCAACGAAGGTCTCGCTGCTTAGGTTCAGCAAAATTAATGGTTAGCCCAAAAGGATGAAGAATTAGCCAGCACTCTAAACACTATTCCCTTTCATAACCGTTCTTTCCCTTTATTTGTCCTTGTTTTGCCATTCGTCTTAGGACATAGTGATACTGTTAGTGCAAGTCAGAACACAGAGTAGATTGCATATTTTTGCTTGATGTGATCATGAAGGGAAAAGAAAAAGCCATCGTGTTTCTAAAGGGATCCGGAAGCAGCACTACTGATTTGCAATGGAAACATAAGGTAAATAGCTCATAAATGGACATAAGAAGGCCTTAATCAGTCCCTTTGGTTTGTGATCTCTAAGGAGTCTAATAAAGACTATACTAAAGTTGACCCAAAGAAAGGGGGGATTGTTGAAAACGAGTAGTGTAAATAGGGTCTGGGGCATTTCAGAGAACATAGTATCTTTTCTAGAATATTATGGAAGCACTCTTTGGATACAATATATAAAAATGATTTTTCAAACTAGACATCAGTGGCTCATACCTAATTCTTAGCTATAATCAAGAAGCTGATATCTGAGGACTACAGTTCAAAACCAGCCTGGGCATAAAAGTCTGTGAGACTTTTCTTACCTACAGTTAACCACTAAAAAGCCAGAAATGGAGCTCTGAATCAAGTAGTAGAGCACTAGCCTTGAGTGGAAAAGGTAAGCTAGACGATGACCCTGACTTCAAGACCCGGTACTGGCACAAAAAATATTTTTCCAACATTTGTATTTCTGCCAAGGTAGTATCTCTATTTGGCAATAACAAATTAGGTTAAATCCAACTGCCAAATCCATTTGAAAATAATTGGGCTACATTCTTATCTTCTTAAGTTTTTCTTGACCACTCAGATCTGCTTTCAGTGAAAAATGAGAAAGTGAAAAGAAGTTTCAGATTCCAAGGGTGGAAAACATCATCCAATGTTTTCTAGCTAAGATTCCCTGTCTCTTCGTGTTTGGTAAAGAACAGGCAGGAGCTTCCTGTCAGCTCAACAGTTTTTCTTGAAGCCTTTTGCAGAGCAGATCTCGCTGTCCAGTTAGATTCTAGAATATCCTGAAGAAGGTGATATGTGCTCCTTGGTATGTTTCCATCTCTGTCCCAGCCAGGTTTAGGATTTTCTTTAGCTTCTTTCTTTGCTATTTTTTATTTTGTGGTGGTTGTTGATTCATTGTCATCATAAACCATGAGATCAAGTATAGACTATTTTACCCGGATCCCTGAGTTAAAATGGACATTGATGGAGGTCATGTGTACTTTGTGAAATGAAAAACACAGAGAAATAGACTCAATCATTAGCAGGAAGACAGATGTCCCAAACATTATCCACAGCAAAAACCTTGGTTTCAACATGAGCCAGGATTGTTACATTTTTGAATTTAGTTCTTCATATCATCTTCTACACATATGCATGTGCTTCTACGTATGTATACACAAGCATACTCTCTCTCTCTCTCTCTCTCTCTCTCTCACACACACACACACACACACATACAATCCTAATAAATGCAAGTCCTAGTAATAGGTACTCAGAGAGAACAATGAGTTTAAACTTTCAGATCTAGATATACAAAGAAATAGAACGATCAGGGTTCATCTGCTGCGATCTTAGCCACCCTGAGGGGGAGTGGGGGAAGAATTCACCAGCTCCAGCTTTCTGGTGAATTACTAGGTCAGGTCAGGCAGATTTTCGGCAAAGCCACTTCCTACTGGGCATTGCCACCATTTCTGGACCAATTAAAACAAACAAGCCTTTGGTTTGGCAAGAGAAAGATGAAGGCAGGTCAGAAAGGACCTTTTTTCGGATGATTGAAATGAGTTCATTTTTAAAGCACTTAAGAAGCACTGTAAGGAGTCTTACCTGCTTTCAAAAACCTACTTTATTGTGTGTGTGTGTGTGTGTGTGTGCGTGCACACACACACATGTGTGCATGTATGTGTTTATGTCCATGTTCACTGTCAGATGGATGTCTATTGTCTATGAGGGTGTAATTTTTTTCATGTTTTCTTAGCAAGAATCAGTTGCACAAGCTTTCACTTTAACCTGCTCATGTAATGCTTGCAAACGACTTGACTGGAATCAGCACTTTTGTCATTTTCCCTCCTCCCTTTTACCTTCTCAAACCAGTCTCAGCAAGCTTCACTGGTCTATTTTCATGCAAGTACATAAAGTATTTTGGCTATATTTGCCTAGTAGGGGATAATGTTTCATTTCCCCATACTTTTCTCACTGTCTTCTGGAAAGAAGAGAAACAATTGCTCCACAGCTAAGAGGGCACTTATTAACATAAGACAACTTCTTGTGTTGGACAGGGTTGAACAAGCTGGAAAAAAAATTACATCTAATTTTAGCTATGAACTAAAAAAAAACCCAGTTTGAATTGAAGGTACTTTTTCAGGTTGCTGTAAAGCTCTCCCACCTAAGCTTCTTTATTTATAATTTTATAGTGTTATTATAAAGGTGCTACGCAGAGGAGTTACAGTTACACCCGTCAGGTAATGACTACATTTCTTTTGGGGCAATGTCACCCCTTCCCTTGTCCTCTCCCAGTTTTTCCCTCCTGTCCCCACCCACAAGTCATATAGTTCATTTTCTACATTGTATCTAATGAGGACCACTGCTGCATTTGTTCACCCTTTGTCCCTCTGTTTCTGGGCCCCCAATACACTCCCAAAGAGAGATATATGAACAAACAAGACAGAAAGAAGAAAACAAAAACAGCAATGAAGAAAGAAACCTCTTGTGTCCATTTCCTGCAGTTGATTTTGATAACTATTATTTTATCTAATCATGGGCATACAGGCCTTTGCCTCGTGTTCCTCCCCTAACAGTGCCATCTAAGAGGGTTAGGGTGCCCAAACTACCAACAGACCCAGGCTCCCTCAGTGGTCATTTGCTGACCAATACAAAGTCATAGACTGCTGAGTTCTGAGAAGTGCCATGACTTAGAACAGAACACAGAGCTGAAGTTGGGTATTTGCTATCACACCCACTTTGAGGAGTGGAAGAGAAATACAATTTGTTTCTAGAAGAAAGTGCATTTTATGCAGCAAAATTCCAGTTGTGAGTTCAACATATAGTGACTGAACCAAAGATTGTGTGAAAAACCACCTGTACTAGACCCCATTGATTTACTAAGGGATTGGACCAAAAGTCAAGCCACAGCATTGAGCTCCATTCATTGGTAGCATGCAGAGACTTGGGGCAAATGGCTCATTCCACATCACCCTGGGAATATTCACATCTCCCACCAGTGAGCCCGTGAAACAGGGCAGACTCCTGGCCCTGTTTAGGGTTTAACAAACCAGAATGATGGAACGGAGGAGGCCTTTTTGAAATAAGATAAAATTGGTGGGTGGAGAAATAGCTACAGAACATGAGTGCAAATGTAGAGGGAAGAGAGGGAGTGGGTGAGGGAAGGAGGGAGCAATAGAGAGGGTTAATCTGATCCAACTATAATGGATGCATGTGTGTGAAGCCACAGTGAGACTCCCTGAACAATTAAAATATCTCCAAAATGAAGGCCAGGAGTGTAGAGAACAGGTGTGTTGGGCATGGGAAGAGACTGAAGCAGGGTTAATATGGT